CTTGTGCACCTTCATCTCCAATTTCATTTTTTTCGAGGAAGAGTTCTCTGATTGTCTGTATGAAATAAGAACGATGAAAACTAGAGAGGTGCAGAGAGTCGTGTTTTCTCTCATTATATTGTTTTCCTTTCGACAGAAGAAACAACGTTTAGTGCGTTCTGGTGGTGTTAAAAATCATTTTTCTGGGAAAACATCTGAATCGGAGGTGATAAAGCATTCAATAAGGATATTGTACATAAGCTGTATATTTAACAGTTGCAAAAGTACTGGGTTCATTGGGGACGTGTCTTTTTTCTAAAGCGCGCCACTGGGGATTTCTTATGGATTATTTCAGTATCGCATTTGTCAGATGGATGGCTTATGTACATTTCGGATTGGAGTGTTTTGCCATATAACAAGTTTTCTTAACTGAGATGCACAATCGTCGAAAAAGTGGTCTGATGAGAGAAAAACAACTTTTCACTAGTAATTAGTGTGTTACTTTTTTAATGAGCAAGAAGGAGGCAGAATCATTTAACTTAGAGATGCACATTTCTGCAAACATTAACAATGCTGAACTGTTCTATATGATCTATGAAAGATTAAACAAATATCGTGGTTCCGAGAAATTCTATTGTGTTATTATTCGAATTAGTAATGTAAAAATCAATGTAATAGAAGCTCACAAATGTTTATTTAACTATGTTGATACAAAAAGAAAGAGAAACTTTTATTTTGAACTTTGTTGATTATTAGGAAAACATTCAATCATTTACCAAGGAAATATAAAAAATCAGTTTTAATAAGCGATTATTCTCAATATATGCGGAAAAGGAACGAGAAGTTGTTTGATCAACAGGTTCTGAAAAACCTAATAGTGTCGACAAAAGATGAAATGATTGTTATATAGGATAAAACAGTGCTTATCTGTATCTATGCAATCAAGTTTCTCATTTATTGATAGACTTCTGGTGAGGATATTGATCTTTTTAAGTGGAAGGAAGCTTCTAATAGAAAAATAAAAAGACTTGCACAAACAAAACAAAGAATTCTATCAACTAATATATTCATTGAACAATTTGATTTATTTAATTAAGATGGTAGAACCTTACAGTTACAAAAAACGAATACCAGTTTTTTCGCGAACTGATGAACTACTTATTTATCTTTGACACATCTATGTGAAAAATACGAATGATAATCTATCTGAATGAACTTCATCTTCGTCAGTTATTCTTACCACAAATAAAATCACTTAGGTATTATCTAGGAAAACACTTTAATTACGTTTCTGTCACCATAAATATTCCTTTTCAATTCTTGGTTTACGAAATGTAGAACAAATGACATCCATGGAAAGTGAAAATATTTTCATTGCAGAAATTAATTATTGTCAGCTACAAAGTCGCTGTTTTCCTTACTCAATTGACAAATATCTTCTCACTAAAATAAATCTTTTTATTGTTTAAACTAGATTGCAATGAAATATATCTATTTGCGATAATCTTATCACTATTACTATAATGAAACATCGACCCTTTTTAAAATAGTTTCCTACACATTACAGGTCAACTTGGCATTTTGTGAGAAGTGAATTGTATAATTACAAATGTAACTAATATTCTCAACTAAGACAATCTCTGTTCGCTTTCAATGATCAGAGAAACAGAAACTAACTTCATTTTAAACTTGAAAGAACAGTCTGACGAGAGAGGACATATCGAAGCGACTCTTGTAATAATGGTCTGTCGCAGACTACCAGAAAACTGTTAAGATTTGTGGATCCACCGAGAATTCATCGTAGAATAAAAACAGAGAATTATATTCAAGTTTACTAAGCATTTTCATTGCAGTGTGAGTTTTGTTTCTCTGTTTTTACTTCGAACCAAGTTTCCACACGAGACACCTTTTTCACATTCACACTTAGATTTGTGTTGCTCAACCACAGTCAGATGAGTTTATTTAGGTACTTCTCTCAATGTTTCTAATTATCTATAACAATAGTTGATTTGAAACAGAGAAGTTGTCGTCTTTAATAATCTTCATTGATCTTGTGTCTAAACTTCTACAAAGATTACAGGTAGAATATCGAAAGTACATTGTTCATCGCAACAAATTTTTCATGTTCTAATAAGAGACTTTTAGTTTTCGAAAATTTGGAAGGCTTCAACGATCACTCAGTTTCAAAGATGTCTCGATCAGGATGAAATAGATTTAGTTTGATTCTTTTCGGCAACTATTTCTTGTTGATGTACGGAGAGAAAAAGAATAGTTTCTATAAATTTAATTCAAAAGAAAGTCCCGAAGAAAATATATCTGATATAGAAAGCATGGAGGAAAAGGATATTTTAAAATATGAAAAGAAATTATTTGTATTATGACATGACCTAATCTAAGTTCCGTCGAAAAATAAAAAAAAATATATCTCTTAGCAATCAATAGAACTTGTCATCTAAGCTAAAAAGTTCTTTAAAACACCAAATTTATTGTTTTTGTACTAAAGTCAATATAAGCATTGCGACGACTTTCGATCAACTCATTTTTCTATATATGAAGTAGTGCACCTCGATCGAATTAGGATCCCGTTCAATCACTTCTTTCATTGACAGATTTCTTATGTCGGTGAAATGACTACAGATAGATTGTTCTTGCCTTATTGGATAAGTTCAGTTCTTGTGAAATTGATGAATCTCAGTCAGTTCATCCATTTCTACATTTTGATATGAAGATATTCAAAAGATCGATTAGAATGAGTTTATCAAGTGGAAATCAGAAATAGAGCGATGTAAAAGCAGAAAAATACATAATAAACGCTTCTAACAGGAGATTTAACAATACTGTTTTGTAGAATAAAACAGGTTGGATGTTAGTTCTCTTCTTTTCCCTCCCATTTATAAAAATAAACTCGATAATACTTACCGTATTGTTTCGTAAAAGATAATAAGCCACTATATTCATATCTTCATCCGTCAAACTTTTCTTAGCGAACTTCACTTCGGTTTTACCTTTTTCCTGATCGATCATTTCTTCAAGTTCTTGATTTCTATATGTAGGTGGTTTTGACAATACAGTTGTTGTTGTTTTTGATTCTAAATAAATAAATGCAAAAAATAAAATTCAATAGTAGAGTTGTATGAATGAATAGAGATTTTAGATTTCGTTAGTAAATTAAATCATTTTTCCAAATTTGTTTTGAAAACTCAAGTAATTTCGATAAAGCATATCGAAAATGCGTTAGCGTAAAAAAATGAATTTGTTTTTTTCTAATGAATTAAATGCTTCTTCCATATATAAATTATTCTATCGGATCTGATTTATTATCAAGAAGAAAGAATTGCATAGAATGGTTTATTCGATCAAATATTTTTGATTTATAGAATACCATTATGATTTCTTCCACCCTTTCTGATGCCCTTATCTAAAAATCAGTTATAAAATAGTTTGTAAATATATTGCCAAGGTATGTCTAAACTGTTTCTACATATAATTAATTAAAATATCGGATTGTTTGACATAAGTTAACTATTCTACAAAATATATGTTTGTTATCATTCCAGTATCCTAGTTGAATCTTGTTGGAAATAGTTTCCATCGGTAACTCTTGCTTTGAGGGTGTAGATGTGGTCTTATATTCATCTTACATCTATATTCACACCTACCCTAGCCACCTGCATCCGCATACTCAAGAGAGAATAGATGAAAGATTTTAAGCAACCTATATACGTGATGACTTTAGTTAGGTGATATTGGAAGAGCTTATGCACTGCTGGTACTATGAAAGATAGTTGACGAATATAAGGAACTACGAATTGGGTTAGAATGAAGAAAAAATATGGACAAATCCACGAAACAACATTTCATCTTGTTGTAACTGACTCAGAAAAGACAAATCTCACTTTCTTCTATTCCTAATCAATACTGACCTGTAGATGGTGTTTGAACTGGTAATTTTGGTACGGAGACAGGTTCAAGAAGAGGATAGGCTGGTTCTGTTTCTTCCAGTTGTATCATATGAAGGCCATCGTCAAACTCGAGACATCCTTTAATTAAAAACTGTCTGGCTGGTAATAAAAGAATTTCGTCTTCGTGTTGAAAGAATGAATGATTTTTAATATCTTTGGCCGTCTGACACTCTATTTGAAACAGAGTTCTAGTACCAGTTTTTCCAAAAAAACTTTCGCATTTAAGTACTTCGATAGATGATGTGCAAGAGGCAAATCCCCACCAGATAATAGTTTCACCTGTCGGATATTGTGCCCGTAAGTCTTCTCTGACGCCTCGATTAATAAAACAATGTTTAGACGGAAGACGAGCTAATGCTGTCAATACGAGTCGTAAGTAGCGGAACCAAGGAACTAGTCTTTGTCTTTGTTCAGAACGTAAGGCGGTGTTGAGAATAACGTAGAGAGAGTGTTCTTGTGGCGTAGATTCGTAGGTATATAGCATAATTGAAGCAGACTCATCACTTGTTAAGCCGTCTTCTGGTTCCTGACAGTTCTGCTTGACAATACATACGTTACGTTGGACTTTTGGTACGATGTCAACAAGTGGTTTCACTGCATCTTCGAGTGATACAAGTGGCTCATTCTCATAGCCTTCGATCGGAGCTAGCATTCTTTTTGGTAGCACACCCAAATCCGCGAAGCGAAGAGCAGACGTTTTTGCGACAGTACTGGAAGCCATCTAAAAACACTTGTAATCAATGTATTTTGATAGATTATTCTTAGAAGATATCCTTATTATAAAATGAAACTAGTTGCTATTGAGAAAGCGAATCTTTCGTTGATATCGCCGACGCATTGAGGGAAGTATCTTCACATACGAAGAGATTAGAAAAAGTAAAACACTTTGTCCTCATTTATGTTATTTCCTAATGAGATGTTCAATATTGAAACTATTAAACCGGATTAAATTCTTTTCCACCTAAGTAGGATATTGCTATCTCTCTCATTATATGGACTATGAAGAAAATGTGCGTAGTTTCGTTAAAATAGTATTATTTTGGGTGTGGGTGTGGTGAGTGCAAGTACTATCCTTTTCACTCTCAATCACATTTTCACCCACATTCACACTAATACCCACATTCACATCCACCTGCATTAGACTTATTCGTTTCTAAGCTCTCCCTTATTGGTGTATGTTCTGATCTGTTCAATTTTTTTGCCTTCTCATCGTTGGTCATTAGTTCACTTGAGTTGGTAGCTTCAGAACAGTCGAGTGATGACTTCCAACAAGAAAAAAAATCATTATATTTAATGATGACATAGGTGAATACAATCATTCAAGAGAATTCTGAAGTATCACGAAAACTTACTTCCGCATTGTTCGGGTCTATATTGTTGCATCGGATATCATCAGCTAGTGTTTGTGGATCAACTCCTATTTTCTTTATTACATCAACCGATTTCCTTTGTTTTCCAGTTGATGTCTTCATCCTCAATCGAAGTTCAGGATCATCTATTGCAGGAATATTGGTTTCCTTCAATGTCTTCTTATTATCCAACATTTCATCATTTTTCTCTGAGGCAAGATAGTAATTATTGTAATCGATATCCACACGTGTTTTACAGACATATTTAATAACATCTTCTATTGTAGATACTGATGACACCGGAACACAAATAGTTTCTTCAAATTGTTCGAAACGGACTTCGATCGTCGTATCAGCCATTGATTTTTGACCTAGAATTTAGATCAGAAACGTTTCTTTTTTGTGTAACTTACAACTATTCTGTGCAAATATTATTCCTCGTTGATGTTCACTATATCTAGGGATGGGTCTGGGTGTGGTGAGTGCGGGTACTATCCTTTTCGCTCTCACTCACACTCTCACCTACCCTCACACCCGAGCCCGAGAGGTTCGGTACATCCCTAGCTATATCTAATATTAAAATTGTGAGACAAGACTAAATTACAAATTACGTTTGCCTTCGTTGGATCCTGTAGCTTCTTGTTGTTGTTGGTTAGAATGAAGAGTTTGGTCTGATTTCGATGCTATCTTTTGTTTTATATCATGTTTAACTGTTGACCAGCCATTCTCAGCAACTTCATCTAATGTTGAATCATACATAGTGTCCGTTTCAGGAATATTATGTTCTTTCAATAATGAAAATACTTGTGGTCGATGATATTCCCGTAATGCTCGAAATAATATTGATTGATTTTTATCTAACTGTTCATTCATTACCTCTTCTTTAATATAATTAGAATATTTTGTTATTGATTTCAAACCTTCATTTGTTATTGTTGTCCATAGATTATCGAACACACCTCCATTTTTTAAACATACATCATCAATATATTCGAAGAGAATTTGTAAAACAATTGATAATATTGGACAGTTTTTCAAATATCTATTCCCATGTTCAGCTGTACGAGTTAAAACACGTTCGCGAAGATCAGGAGCTTTTTCTTTTGGATATTGTGTAAGAAATGAAATAAACCATTCATTTGAAAGCGCATATTGTGCTTCACATCGTCGATAAAAATACTTTTTTAGTAATACAATCAATTTACTATCCGCACTATTCATTTCTGGTCTATATATTTTTGGTTTAAAGTTGTCTTCATATTTTACTAATGACTGTCGACCATTGTTTAGTAAATCATCAATCACCTGGTTTTTAATTTCATCATTATCATGTAAACTTAAAATACTACTTATTTCATTTTTAAATGAGTTCAGTTCATCATCATCAATCTCATCATGTAATCTTAAATTACTTCCTATTTGATTTGTAAATGGCTTCAATTGATCACGAGCAATAGTATTATCATTAGGTTCTGCATTAAAAGAGAGTTCTGTCATATGGAAACTTTGATATGGTAAATGGTTGAGAGATAAATATATATTCTGAAATTAAAAAAAGTGGGGTGAGATTTAAATACTAGTTACAGCTTCACCCACATCCATCCTTCTGCAATGTTGAACATTGCAAAACCAGTTCCACCCCCGAAATCAGATTGACTTTCCAGTACTGAATGGAACTGGTTCCTGCATTGTTCAATATTGTGGAATAGGATTTATTATTCATACAATCCGTATGTATTTGTCCATTTTGTGATAGTATAATTGTTATAAGACGCGAATTTCTCGTATACTTACTGAAGTCTTTAGTGAAATCGAGTTTAGTCTATGCTCGATTGCAGTTCATTTCTAGAATTATTTCAACGCGAATCAAAATATTCTAATCGTGCAGCAATACTACCAAAAGCTTTCTTTCGAATGGCTTTTATACGTATAGAATATAGTAAGCAATGGATTTTTTCTCTCATAGAGGAGAAGCTATTCACCTTAGGGTATGCAATTGAAAAATAATGTCTGCGTAATTTCATTCTAATCGACACAAGAAGAATAAAAAAGCTCATGACAGTGGTTTGTTTGAGAATCTGGGTGTCGGTGGTGGTTGATGTGGGTGACAGTGCTGATGGATGTGGGTATGAGTGAAATAGAATATTCTCATCCATATTCTCAAAATATTCAAATAACCACGCTCCGCATCATGGTGTTGTTTTTCTTTTGCCTTTTTTTTCGTTCGTTTTGTCTTTTTTTTGTCCATTTTTTTATCAACTATGTTAACTGGTAGCTGGAAGGGAGAAGCTGTTTTACTGTTTTTTCGCTTTCTTTTCTTCTTTTTTTTATGTGAATTTTTTCTCTCTTGTTTGCGGAGCTTTTCTTTTGTTTTTTTTGTATCGAGAGTTCGTTCGTATCTTACTTGTTGTTCGATCCATTGATTTCTCAATTTTTTTTAATGGGCTGTGCTTTTTTGAAAGAAAGATTTGTTCACAACAAAATATAACTATCATAATATATCCTACTAGATCAAAGAAAAAAAAGATGAGACATATGTCAATGAAAAGCATCTAAAGAGATTCTTCAGTTACCCTCCAATCTGTAGACTACATCATTTCATCACTATTTACACAATACTAAAAACAACGCCAAACCCGGCAGAATTCTGGATACTCAATAGGCTTCTGTATATACATCAATGCTACTGTTGTTGAAACAGAATTCTTAAATTCTGCTTACTGAGAATTCTGCCTGCTCTATGTGACTAACAATATTTTATTCATTCTTATTGCAGTTTCTCACTGATACACCCATGATTTTTGATCATATCCTTTTGTTTTTAATGTAATGAATAGTCTACAAATTAAATAGTTTCTCTATGCACATGTTTCTCAAGGACAGACTAGAGAACTGATTCGTTTTTCGGCGAAAAACAACACGATTTCACGTTGTTGATGATAGTAAATATTGATGTAGATAATAATTTAGTGATGCGAGAGCGAGAAGCAGATGGCTTATTGCAACGCTGCTCCCAACAATTTTATTTTTCACATTTGTTCTATGTTAGTTATGAATATAGTACTTGGCTTTTTCTTTATTGCTCTCAGGTATCTGAAACTTTTTCAAAAAGAATCTCATATATTTGATAATTTTCTCATTTTAGTCTAACATGTATTATCATCAATTACTTGTTCAAGAATTGAAGAACTTTTTTTTTAGTAGCTACTGTTAATTGTCAGACATGTCATAATGTAACTCAATACGGCCCATGCTCAGCTAATACTGCATGTGGCTGTCTTTACCTATCGTCTGCAGTTAACACTGGTATTTGTGGTCTGCTTTCACTGACTTGTTCCAGTCTCGTCGAGTGTGATATTCGGAATAATGCATGTTATGAACCTGGTCACATTTGTGTGAATCATCCACGCTGTAGTAATAAACCACTTTGTTATCCACTGTCAATGACTGCTCAACAACTTTGTGCGCCTATACATCCGATAAGTAAGACCGTGTTGTAATCTACTGCAAAGATATAACAGGATATTCTGTCTATTTTTCAGAAGAGTTGGCCGTAGAAATTCTAAATTGTTTCATTAACCTTTTCATCTATACATTGACGAAAATATCAGTGTGAATAAACAAAAGAAACTTTGTGCATTTTCCTAGTTAATCATCTATGCTGCTGAGCTTACGCTTTCCAAGACTTTCCCAAGACATTTTCACTACAGAATATAGCAAAAAAAAGTGTTCTGTACAGTCTGATCCGAACAGATCAAGTTTATCGTTCTGGTATTTTTATGACTTCTTATTATTTATATAATAATCAGATCTTTTACCTTTTAATTCATTTAAGATTTGTCTTGATTATGAGTATACGAGGTATGATGCATCTAGACCCACACCCACAGCCACCTATGGATATTTGTAGGTATACAGATTTCATTTCCCTTATAATCGTATTTCTTTAATTCAACGTTACATAGATGAAATCAAAATGAAATATATCCAAGGTAATCTATTTGTAACTGACACTCAATTTGCGGGCAAAGTTCAACATAATCTAAATTCAGCGAATATATTGTCAGTGGTTCCAGTGGTAGAACATAATCGAAACCAATTTATTGGTGCAAGTCACACGGCAGGTTCCGGATATTTATTTGATTGGTTCGTCGATTCTACATATTTTCAAATCAAAATTCCTCAACCAGTCCACAATAATAGTGCTGCTATTAATGGTCGACCATTTCGTGTGATAATCTTTTATCGCACTTGAATAAGAGGCAGTACCGAATACGGTGAAACTACAATTGATAAAAGAGAATGTTTTCTACCCCCCCTATAATCCCATAAAAGACAATCCTTGATGCTTCTCCTTTTCATATATTTATTCAATGGAAGAAATAAATAGAGAAACAGACTACAATTTCTCTGTTAGAGAGAAGACAAGGTCATTCTACTAGTTTCAAAATTTGCTTATCAGCAACCGATCTTTGCGGAAGTTATATGTTAAAGTAATGCCTCGTATCGGTAATAACTAAAGAAATGCAGAGCTATTTCGTCGGTGCATTTCGTGTTATTTATTAAAATGTAAATTCTCGTATAATTGAGGCCCCTCCCTCTCAAATATTTATCTCTGGTTAGGTATACCAAAATCGCATGAAATTTTTAGGATATGGTGAAGCTGTGGTGAGGCGGCTACAGTAAAATTGAGGCCCTATCGCAAGACGTTAGAAGAAGATATTCACCGAACAAGAGTTCCATATCAGGTCATTTGGTAACCTCAAGTTCTCTGTATGAGCTCATTCTATAACTTTTTTTCTTGGTTTTGTTTGAAAGAGCATTTCAGGATGCATGGTACGTCAAGGCCATTTTTTTTAAATGCTTACTTTTTATGTGAAAAAAAACGCGAAAGGTTCAATAACTCAAAAAACACGCCAAAAATGGGTGTCTAATTATATGAGCGTTCATATATATAATGAAAACAAAGCTTTATTTAAAAAAGGGTCTTGCCATGCCTTGCATGCTGACATGCTCTTTCAAACGAGGGTGTGAGTGTGGGTGGGTGCATCGTCTTCTATATCGTTGACATCCACACCCACACCCATACAATGGTAGAATTACATCGTTATCTCTCTTAACTGAAACAAAACTGAAGAATAATGATAGCGTATATACTTCATCTTTTTATCGAACAACACTCACACCGTTAAGAACAGATTCTCTCAGTACGCACGCGAGTACTCTGTCTATTTAAATTGTTTATTTATTTTCAAAAACAAAGTTATCTACAACTTCTTTTTAACATTTTCAAGATTTCTTTTCCATTCTTGAAGACGAAGGTGATTTTCAGGTAATGAATGTTGCCCAATCTCAATAGCCCGTGCATAATAAGAAAATGCTTTTGAATATTCGCGCATGCCGTCGTACACCAAACCGATATTATTGTGTGAAATAGCCAAATCCGGATGATTTTCAGGGAGAGCTTTTTGCCAGATTTCAAATGCTCTTTCATGATAGAAAAGTGCTTTTAAGTACTCACTCATCTTGTTATACACGTTACCGACGTTGTTGTAACAAGCAGCCAAGTCAGGATGATTTGGAGGAAGAGTTTTTTGTTGGATTTCAAATGCTTTTTTACTATATGATAGTGCTTTCGAGTATTCGCCTATACGAAAATACACCACACCCATGTTGCTGTAAGAAGTAGCCAAATCAGGGTGATTTTCAGGGAGAGCTTTTTGTCGGATTTCCAGTGCTTTTTCATGAGATGACAGTGCTCTCGAGTATTCGCTCATCTTGCCATACACCCGGCCGAGGTCACAATAAGAATCAGCCAAATCAGGATGATTTAGAGGAAGGATTTTTTGTCGAATTTCAAGTGCTTTTTCATGATAGAAAAGTGCCTTTGAATACTCACCCATGCGATAATACACATCGCCAATGTATTCGTAGGAAGTAGCTGAATCAGGATGATTTAGAGGAAGGATTTTTTCTCTGATTTCAAGGGCTTTCTCATGATAAGAAAGAGCTTTCGAGTACTCGCTCATCTTATGATACGCCAAACCGATGATGTAGTAAGAAGCAGCCAAGTCAAGATGATCAGATGGACGAAGTTTTTGGTTGATTTCCAGTGATTTTTCCGCATATGTAATGGCGTCGGCATATTCTCCTCGACCATTTTTGATTGTTCCGAGATGATGATAAATGTTGGCTTTCTCTTGTTGATCAGATGTCTGAGTAAGCAGTACATCATAGACTTGTTGTGCTTTGTCAAACTGCCCAAGTTTAATCAATAATTGACCCAATCGCTTCCATCCGATCTCATCTGGAGATGTCTCTGCTCGTATATATTTAGTTAATATGTGCAGTTGTGGATCATGATCTCCAGTCAATGTCAACTCCACTTGCCAAAGTCGATCATTGCCATCGATCTGTTTGATTTTTCCAATACGAAATATAGAATGCATAGAAAAGAGAATTTCTTCTTCGTCCTGGTAATAACCAATATCGCGAACATCGGCGAATGGAGTTGATGAAGTCGATGAATTAATAGTTATTTGAAAGAGAGTACCTATTAAATATGGATTATCTATATTACTTTCAGCGAAAGCAAGAGAGACTTTTTGGTCAAGACTAGTTGATAAAAAGCTATTAAACGATAATAAACCACCTTGTGTCTTTACCAATTGGTTAAAATCTGTCTGAGGCAAACCTTGACCACGATATACAGTGAACGTGTCGAAATCAGTTAGTTCCGAATGAATGCGGGTGATGTGTTGATGAAGGTCAGAAAGAAAAAAGCCTAATTTGATGATGAGATCGATATCCATTAGTCGTAAAGCTCGATTAAGCATAGAATACAGAAAACACTCGTGTGTATACCACCAGATCGGTGTACGTTGATGATATTCATTTTCGAGTTTATCGACATGACGAATTGTGGCTGGATTGTCAACAAACTGTTCCCGACAGTATGTAATAAATGCTTGAAAATGTTCCGTTTGAAAATCAATAGTTAAGAGAATTTCTTTTAGTATCTGTGTGTACATAAAGGATTGATCTAGTTCATCGAGACTTTCAGTTATTGTATCAACAGTCATGGGTTTGAAACTCATTGAGATGTTGTTTTGATCGCATTTATGAGTGGCCTTTTTCAATGCGTCACAGATGGACTGAATGTCTGAGAAGATACCTTTTATTTTAGCCCATTCTTTCGCCCATTGCTCATGTTGAGTCGTATTCGCACAAAAAATATATATGGTATTAACTTGTATCATATCGTGAACCATAGGGACTGATGTTTGACCAAGTGCACCCGATGAAACCATAAAGACCTTTTCGTCCTTGATATCAGTAATAAAAGTAACACATTCTTCGATATTAGTGAATGTATTCACTGCATTGACTACTTCTCGTAGCTTAATAATTGTATTTTGGCAATCAATGTTGTTCTCTTCATCGATGTTTTCGTCTAACCAGGCCACAACAAAGTTTTGAACTGTGCCAGCATAAAGTCGTCGAGTTCGTCTGGGCTTCTCCATAATTTATATATACTATAAATGATTAATCTAATTGCTTATGAATAACATGACAGAGCAATCAATTATATAAAAAGACATGTACAAAAAATTACTTTCTTGTTTTTTCTTCGTTTATTTATGGTTTCGTCCTGTCAATAAAGCCGATTTTTCTTCAATCAGTTTATATTAAAAAAAGACTTATATTTAAATAAGCAGTAAAATAATCTAAATGAGCAATAACTTATTTAAATGAAAAATAAATCGTCCCAGGGCATGAAATCATACCTGATCATACAGAAAATCGTACAAAAATGGTCGTCTCTAATTTCTTGCAGTAAGATAAATATGGATTTATTTCTAAAAGCTCGTCAACAGTACCCCCCGTCACAACATGTTCAATATAATTACAGCTCACCCCACATTTGACAGAAAAAGTATTAGATAAAGCAAAAACTATACAATAAGTAGAAGAATACGAAACACACATTTGTACAAAAAAAGAGAATCAAACAACAACTAATAAAATAAGAAATAGAATAAATGCATATATGTATGAATTATTCAACTAAATCGAAAACTTCACAACGCTTCTCAAAAAAACTTTGAAAACCTTTCTTGTTTAATAGTTGCTACTTATTTGTAAAGAAAATCTATATGAATATACGTATAGAAATTAATACATTTTAGTATTCATCTATATGAATAATACATATAGAAATTAGAACCTTTTCAGTCTTCACCTATATGAATATAGGTATAGAAATTAAAACTTTTTAGTCTTCATCTATATGTATAATACATATAGAAATTGGAACCTTTTCAGTCTTCACCTATATGAATATACATGATATGTTATTTGTGCAAGATAAAATTTTAAAAAATAAATGCGGAGCGTGTTATTATAGAGGGCGTTATTATATGATGACGTATATGTTCTTCTCAAAGTCAGTTTCCAGATAGTATTTTCCTAAATTATGTCGAAACCTCATCAATGAATCACTCTACTAACTAAATAGTTAATGTGAAATAGTATTTTTCAAAGTCCAAAGCTATCTCGCAAACTCAATAATATCAAATAGCATTTTATCTAGTGAAATTCTACCTCTTTTCTACATTTTATTACGACGGAACCAGATTTTTCATGAATGTCGTGAAAAGTAGAAAAAAAATACTAGATCATGTATGATCAGAAAAGAACAGACAAGATTTCCATTACGTATTATTTCATGTTTCTTTGTTGGTAAATCTTGTATGAACAGATTATATGTAACAAGAATTATTTAGACAGCTCTTGTATGATTTTTGCTGCTGTCTTATAATCTGAATCTTATGAAATCTTATAAAAAATCAGGCAACAATTTGATATAGGATCCGATGCTATGATCATACCAAAAATCTTGTATAGGTACGATTTTGTAAGATCTTGTATATTCTGATGCCTGATATTTCCACCTAAGTTAATTTCTATGGATACTAGAGAATATTGAAAAGAAGAGAAGAACATGATGAAAACCATCAACAATCTGTTATCAAGTTAAATTTAAGAACAAGCATGTACTGATATCATAAATATATTCATTGGTTCTTTATTTCGTACAATAGATAAAAAGAGATAATTTTGGTATCGTAAAAGTATTTCGACCATTTTCACTACAGATGGACAAGCATATGTCAGAAGTAGATAATGAAAGCATCATTATACGCAATGCATCTAATTTCTGGAGGTATCATAATAAATATGGTTTTGATTTGACTCGACAGAATGATCATCAAACTTGTTTTTCTATTCGTCTTGAAACAACAACTATGCCTATTGATATCGATCCCACACGGTCAGCTCTAGTTATTACTGATATGCAAAACTTTTTTATTTATCCAGCTTTACGATCGCATGATACAGGTCTTACCGCATCAAAGCAACTTCTTCAATTTGCAATTCCTGCAGCACGAAAAGCAGATAGTCAAACTTATATTTTGGGTCAATTGGGGTTTTACCGAAGACGACATAGAACTAGCCGCATCAGCATTAAAACGAGTGTTTGCGCGTGAACTTATAAGTGAATCTAAAAATAATTCAACATCATCAAAAACAATTTATAAAGGTCTGGTAAGTGAAATAGGCAACATTATCTTACCTAGTGGTGAGCATATTAATATGGGGAGATTATTGATGCGTGATACTTGGAATAATAAGCTCTATGATCCACTTTTTGAAAGTTATGAAAACAGTCAATTGAGTACAAAACCGGATCAATGGTTTCATAAAGTCTTGAGGGTGTGGGTGTGCGTGTGGGTCTGGGTCTGGGTCTAGGTGTGGATAAGTGCATCTTTATTATATTCGTCACATAGCCGCACACTCATATTCACATCCACATTCACCCTCACACCCATAACCACACTCTTATATGGAATATTTCAAAAAACATATTCTTATATTTTTTTTCAAATATATGTCAGTATTTTGAAAGTGTTATGGGTGTGGGTGTCTCTTCTTTATGAACACCCACACCCGCATCTGCAACCACATCCACCCACACCCACACCGTATTCAAATATAGATATTTGTTCCGAGACACAACTGATGAAAACACGTTCTTTATATTTGCAATAAAAGGAAAATTAGTGTTTCTCACAGAGACATGCATGACGATTATAATAATCATAAGCATCATATCCATTATAAAGATGATGATAATAACGACTAAAGGCTCCACTATCATAACGTTTTGTAATAAGATTCCAACCATTATCATAGCGCCAATAGTCCTTATCCCCTTTTTCCCAATTTTTGCAATCGCAGACCCAATTCCATTGATGTTGACCACCAGTAAAATGCCAATCTCGACATATGTAGCACTTGGCATAAGGATGTGGCGAGTATCTGTCAAGTGCAGCAAATTCTTGGGGTGCTAAATGAAAATATTAAGCAATCACAAAATCTTGTAAGACACAACTGATGGTTTTATAAGAAGCCTATTCTGAGGATAGTGGTAAACTCGAGATTATCTGAAGTGTAGAACATAGGACCAGTGTATGAGAAAATTATTTTTGTCTACAAAGAAGTACTTTAAGAAAAGTGTTGAAGAATGCAGATAATGGAAGCTATTCAGAAGTCGATATTAAAGAATTTTCATATTTTCTCAACAGAACATGTCACACGTTTGAGAATTTTGCGATTTTAGAATCTTCAAGTAGGGAAACGTTTAGGATAACTAGGTTCAAGAATTTTCGATATTATGGTATTTAAGGTATTTAGAAATCTGAGGATCATCGACATTTTTTTATTATACGAATTTTAAAACTGTAAAGAATATTAGAATATTAGTTTTGTTTTGGATGTAGAAGAAAGTGCAATAATGACATTGTCTTGTTTTTATTTGAATGGTGTGTGCACTTGACGAAGAAGTAGCATTTCTGATAGCGGAAGTGACAAAAATGATTAACTAGGGTGTGGGTGTTGATGAAGGTTTAGGAGAAATACGCCCACACCCACACATCTCGATGCTTTGTGATACATCCGGTAGCAATTCTCCTTACTGTTAACAAGTGCTCGTTACGCTACTCAAGAGTAAGAGTGTGAGACAGCGGTGGATTGAGTAAATATTCGACGCTGTAGCACATCGCAGAAAAAATGTGTAACGAAACGTTATTCATAATCGTTTTATCATCTTTCTCAATAGGATCAATATATTTTGTCAGTGTGACAGAATTCCTTCATTGTAGCGTTAATCTATGCATATCCGATCGAGATGATCTGCCATCGAGTACAGCACGAGCACTGGGACCAATGAAGTGTTTCTTTTAAAGAAAATGACTATCAAACTCGAAGCAACATACCTGACTTCGGTGGCTCTGCTTTCGGCTCTGGTATATTAGAACAACACTTGAATAGAGATAGTTGGAATGCATCTAAAAGAAAGCAAACAATGTTTTTGACATCTGAGTGAATTCATAATCTCGGTAACGGGTGGTGTAGAAATGATGTCTGGATTCGAATAGTAAATTTTTCTTTAAGAAAACAATTTATTTAAAATTGTCTTTTTGACGAAAAGATGCAGTAAAAGATACTCTACAAACTAGTTTTTTGACGGACCGCATCAAATCATATAATAAGAAAGTTATAAGCTTAGAAATTTTGATAAGAAAAAACAAAAAAAGAATGAGCATGGCAGAATAAGTAGATTTACAGTATTTTGTTGATATCCTGGATAATTTTCATTGTTCAGACTTTATCTTCTTTCTAGAAGATTCTCCATGAGATCCTATACAAAACGATATAGTCTAGTAAAGCAATGCACTTTTATTCGTTCGTGAAGCACAACTTCTCTGAAAAATGATATTGGAAAAAACTTAAAAACTTTGTTCACTTTTTTTACAAAGCATTACTACTCTTTAGGGGTGGCACATTTACTTTACTTTTTTTTAGGTAAATCAGGTAAAGTAAATAAATTATTGGGTGGGTGTGAATGTGGATCTATATGAGAAAAAAAAGCAACACCCACACCCCGAGTTTTTATTTGCAGTTAGTTATTATAATAATTTTTTCGCTTGGTTAAGCTTAATTTAGACGTTTCATAGAAGTCTATTCAATTTTCAATATTGACCAATATGAATACATAAACATTATCGCATGCATATAGTATAATCACTCTTGAAGTCTTGCAGATATGATAGATTCCAATTTTAACTCAATGGAAGTATTACTGACAAAAAGCTTTTGACTTACCTAGAGGTAGCACATTACCAATTTTAGTAAATACAATTGGCATATCATCAGTTGTATCCTGTGGAACTTTCGCCGATGGTCTCAATGGGTTGTAGTTGTACGTCGCCTGATACTGTCCTTTATCAGTTGCACCAAAAATGACTTCTTTTAAATCATCGATATCGGAATCAGGATCTATCTTGATTTTCCCTGGAACGTTTTGGTCGCATTTAAACCATACTTTGATCATGTTGGCCATAAATATTCTGTTAGAGAGAACGTATAAGAGTTCTTACAACTTTTTAAACCCTAGAAAAAGATAGTTTACACAACTGAAGAAGTATTTTATGAAGCACTCTTCCAAAGAAGTTCATATCTTTTTCAAGGGTTTATTCGTGAGGAGACTTTGGATATTATTGTATTCGGGAGTGTAAATACCAATGAAGATGCGAGTTTAGACCTCAAAAATCTTTGCTACCTTTCTCTTTTGACATTCATTTCCTGAGAGAATAGAGACTACATCTTTCTACCCTCATCTCAACACGCACGCTTGTACCTACACAAACTCCATTATCGATTACTTAGGTATACATCTGCTCTTAGTATCAGAGTTTTGTGGATATATTTTCAAAATGTGATACTAACACTGATGGATTGCCTGAACACCTATCACTACGATCTAACAGCACAGTTTATCGAGGATTTATGAAAGAGCATCATAGTTACAAAAAAATCGATGTATTGTGTTGCTTTAGAAGCGAAATTCTTTTTTACCTTTCAGCAGCAAGCACAATACATGACTAAAGTTGCCCGTTGTATTTTTATGCGTTCTTCGGAATAATAAGTGACGCGCGTATGGCTTCTCGCTCGGCCTCTCTTGAGAAGATTTTGTTTGCACATTACTTTACTTATTCAAACTGGTAAAAAAACAAACAACTTTGGTTCGCGGAACGAGTCGTAGCTATTATAATTCTTAGAAAAAAAACTGCATTTTTTGTCCTTTAGATATTATAGCTAATGTAACAAAATATATTAAGTGGATGAGGTTGGCAGTAATGATGGGTGTGGGTGAGTTTGGGTGTATGACATAGTAAGTTCCATATTCCAGAAATTCAAATAAAGTGTCTATAAAAAAAAGTTCACAAAAATTCCATTCGATAGGTATAGAAATAACTACAAACAATTAATTTTATTAAAGAATATATGAATAAAGTGCATTGTTTACGTTTGGGCTGGGTTTGGTTGGGTCGAGTGAAAGAATTCATTTATGTATATATATGAATGAATGATTTACTGTCATCCCGGATTGAGTTGAGTGAGATAATTATTTTTATATAGATGATATACGAAAATGAATGATTTACTTTCGTCTTGGATTGGGTTAAGGAATTCATTTTATATAAAATAAATATATATATATGTATAGTTTTAGGTAGATTATCTCTGAAGACATTTATTGTATTGTGTGGACAAATTTTCCCTATACATTTGTGGATGTGAGTGTTGTTAAAGAAGAGACAGCCACACCTTCTCAATGAGAGTTTCATGTCAGGTCAGAACTAATCAGTTTTCTAGTAAAGATAACAAACCTGAAACTAGAGCCATCATGTGATAAATATATTTGTTCGGCTCGATAAAAATTAGTTTCCATTTCTTAGCAAAATTGTGAAAATTAACTGTACTCAAAAAATTTAAAGAAAAATCAAACACGAGTGGAAAATAGAGAACATGAAGTCTGACAGTAAAAAAATCAACCTGTTCATCGTTCGATCTGAAACACGTTCTGCTGAATCAGTAACAAAGCCTCTCCTAACGTTTGGATGATAAATGACAATCTTATTTTTCAGAAGATATCTTGAAAAAAGAATCTAATGCATCTTACACGTCTAAAAGTTCGAATTATCATGAACAGACATAGCTCCCAGACTACATATGGTTAGTTTTCGGCAAGAACCAGTTTTGAAAGTCTTACCAAAATCTAAAACTTAGTAATCTATATATATAAAGAAGGATGTTTGTCTGTCCGCTATGCATTTGGAGACCGTACGAGCAAATACAGTGAAACTATCCAGAGATGATGTCTACACCCAGGGGAAGGTCGACATCTACTTTGTTCCTAAAAAATCAATATTGCGCTTGCTACAGGCATCCTATGCAACTGACCAATAGGATTGCAGCATTTCAAAACGTTAAAAAAAACATTGATAGCAAAGGCGACCGAAGGCCGTCTGAGCGTGCATCTTCTGTTCGCGATACATTCAGTTCCTGTAATAGCTATGATCACCAAACTTTTCACGATGCTTTCCTAGGTGCGACGGAAGGTCTATGAGAGGTTAGCATGCTCATCGAGGAGGGGGGGGGGGAAGGGGGCGAGGGTGGAGTTCCATCAAGGTAGCCATGTGATAGCTAACGTGACCAAAGCGTCTATGACACTTTTGTATATACAAGGAAAAGTGGAGAGGAGGTCGGGTACGAAACGTACTTGGAATTTAACTATTTTTCAGCGGGAGCTGTATAAGAGAGTTTTCATAGCGGGAACCATACGAGAGGGCTTTTGCAGCAGGTACCTTCGCTAGTATCTAATATATATAGGTCACATACTTTCAAAGTATCAAAACCAAAATCAAACTTTTAGCAGTACAAGTACAGTATTAGTAGAAAACGATAACAACCAGCTTCTTAACCATATGTGGCTGTAAATCTAACCATCAACTACATCTAGGTTTGCGTGTCGATCTGGCTGCCGAAAGCATGTCGGTGTGAGCATGGATCATAGTGTCGACATGAATGAAAACGCAAAGCTTCATCAGTAATCTACATCCTCCACCATTCTACATCAATTACAACACTATCGCTAGGCAACGCTAGTTTCGAAGTGAGGATAAGAGGTGAAGAGAAGTATAGTGAGAAATGTTCCTTTGGAATGTGATGCTGGATAATGTGGGCCGGTAGCATTGTACGTTTAGGTTACTCAGGAGTTTTCTTTGTTTTATTCCGTTGTGAAAGAAAGCATTTCGTTGGTTGTGTGTGAACTGTGTTTTACTCTGTGTTGCTGATTTGACGTCAGGATAGAAAATGGTCTTTTTGTGATTTGGTAGTCGTAGGAATATAAGATTAGAAAATGCTCTATGAAGTTGGAGTTTAAAAGACTAAGTTAGAACTGATTGTATTTGTTTACCGATGTGAAACAGAAAGTTGAGTTCATTCACTCGAAACATCACAGTGTCGCGATTTCATGGTTTTAAATTTCAATCTAATTGGAACAAGTAGGCAAATCAAAAGTGGGCGGCACTTTTCTTTAAAAGCTGTTTTACAGGCTTAAATACGGATCTGAATGGATAACAACTGACCTTGTTAGTTTACTGGAAATCTTGAAGTCGTGTTTTGAAATCTAGTTTCGCATCACATTTCGCAGACGAATCTCAAACCGTGTGCCACCTAGTTATTTACGAACACTGAAAGACATATTGTGAAACCTTTTGTTTTGTGGATAGAGAAACTGGGGCTCTTTTTTTATTGTTTTATGTGTGGATGTTTCTGTTCAATGAAATGTGCATGAATATTTAACAATGAATAGGAAAGGATGAACTCCTCTTTTGATTGCTTTGAAGGATTGTCCCAACAAACATCAGATTGAAAGAGTTTTATGTTATTAGTTTGTAACAATATTATTTACGGTTTAATAGGATTTGCAGTGTATAAATTATTTATAATCTTTTAATGGTGTGTAAGATCTTAATTGTAACGCTATTTTAGTTCATTTTAAGTATATGCAGACTGTATAGCAGCGCCATCTATAAAAGAAATTACAATCCGCTGGGATTGTCTGTATACTCAGCTGCAGGTCCAAATGTGTTTTTATTTTTACTCTTCGTGTTAATTTAAATATAGATATTCGTTCACAAATACAACTGTTGAAAACATTTTTCTTATGTTTCTGATAGAAGAAAACTTAGTGTTTGTCACAAAGGCATACATGATGCTTTCGTTCATCTCCTTCTCTCAATTCGAAGCAAACGTTTCGACTCGGTCACATCATCCAACATCACACCCCAAAGGA